TTGTGCAAAAAAAAGTAAGAGTTGGTGTGTGTGTGTGTGTGTGTGTGTGGGATGGTTGTGAGGTTGGTGGCGTGGTGTGGTGGTTGGTGGCGTGGTGTGGTGGTTGGTGGTGTGGTGGTTGTGAGGTTGGTGGCTTGGTGGTGCTGTTTGTGAGGCGTGTGGTGTGGTGGTTGTGTGGTTGGTGGCGTGGCATGGTGGTTGTGTGGTTGGTGGCGTGGTTGTGTGGTTGCACGTCACTCTCCTCACATGTACTATCTACTCTTATTTATACCCGTAACACCTCAGTCAAGTGAGGAAAAACACCACGACCCTCATCTAGGAATCTCTCCCTCAGCTCCCAAACATACCGTATCGACAGGAACTATCAAATTACCGTAGCTCAGGGGTACCGGAAACATGTCCTAGGAGTCTCTCTCTCTCTCTCGTTTTGAATATTGGTAGTTGTGTAGCGCGTCAATCAAGAAGCTAATACCTAATATTAAGAGAGGGCAGACCACCCTCATGGTGGGGGTGGGTGATGAACCAGAGGAAACACACACTCAAACACTCACACACTCACTTTCATATACTCACACACTCACTCATTCATTCATACACACTTGGGATGGATGGCTGTCACACTCGCTCAAGTAGTATTATAGTTGTAACCGTTCTCAGTTTAGAAATGTGCTGTTTACAATGGCTCTCGGTTTTGTTTCCGGACGATACCTTGAAACCTCTTGAATCCCAGGTTGGTCAGGATCTGGGTGGGCAAAGGCAGTACCCACGTGGGTATAGTACCTGGAATAAACCAAGAAAGTACCTGGGCGAGCCAGGGCAGTACCTAGTTGGGCAGAGTTGTTCATGGACGGTTAAGGTGAGACAGGACAGTGCCCTGGTAGGCAGATTGCGTGGACCAGGACAGTACCAAGGTGGGCAGGGTGAGGCAGGCAGTACCCAGGTGGGTAGGACGAGCTAAAACAGTACCCAGGTGGGCAGGGTGAGCCAGGACAGTACCAAGGTGGGCAGGGTGGGCGAGGCAGAGAGTGAGGGTTGATGAAGAGCGGTGCCAGGGTCGCAGGTATAATGGCAGGTGAGGAGGCGGCAGATTACATGTGCCCCGCCAGGTAATGACGGCAATCTGGCCACATTTGTCATTGACGGGAAGACGATAAACTGCACGGGTAGCCTAGTGTCTCCGGGCACCTCGCTCTGCCCACCTGCCCTCCTTCCCTCTCCCACCCCCTTCCTCCCACCTCCTACCCTCTCCCTCCCACCCAGCACAGTCACCCAAGGTGCTGTACCGCTGCACAGCCTCTCACTCAAGGAAGGTATTGGGTGATGTGTTTTGAGGCTGGACTTGTGTTCTGAGGTTATTGCTGTCTGGTATTAAGTGTGTGTGTGTGTCCATGTGCGTGTGTATTGGAAGGACAAGAAGGGTTGTTAGGGTGAGTCGGGATAGAGGGAGAGATCTTTTGCCCTCGGTGTCAAAATTATATATATTTCATCGCCATGGCAGCATCATCATCATCATCATCAAGCCAGCCGATGACTAATTCCTTGTCTTTCTTAATTCACGGTTGCGTTCGTAAAGAGTGTTTGTCCGTGGTGCGCTGACCCTATGTAACAGGCACCTCTACCACCCCGGAGTTGTTGTGTTGTCTTGTCCTGTCCTGTTTGATGAGCGTTTACAGTCCGGATGAAAGATCTATGTATGAAAAGTAAAATAATAATAATAATAATAATTCATATTTTGTCACTAAAGCTCGTACGTTAATAGTAATAAGAAGAATTTAATGTTTACTTATTGAGAATTGGATACACACTTGTACACTCGTTAACTTAAAAACACACACACACACCAGATATTTAAACAATTTTTTTTAATTAACGATACTTTATAATCACGCAATCACGACGTAGTTATTGTAGTTAGTGATTGACAGAATGGGAGGCTTTGTGTCCAGCAGTGGTTGGGTTATGGCCCTTCTTGAATTCTCACACGGACCAGTTTCTTCTGTGTTATTTTCCATTGGGTAAAAATCCTCAAGTGAAGAATTTTTTAAAGTAGAGAATTTTTTGGAGAATTGTGTAAAAGTTTGGAATTATTAATGAGATTTTTTTAGAAGTACAGAATTGTGATGAATATTTTTTTAAAGGACAGAATTGTTAGAGAATTATTATAATATAGAGAAATGGAATAAAGTTCAGGACGTAATTCTTATCATAAATACAGTATACAGAATTGTTATGAGTACAGAATTTTTTGGCGCTACAGAATTTAAGGACAGTTTGTTGTGAAGATAGATTTTTTTAAGTGGAATTATCATAAAATACAAAATTACAAAATACAGAATTATTACAGAAGACGGTCTCCATATTTGGGGTGTGTGTTACCTTCGTCTCTGAGTTACAGTTTGAGTGTGTTACAGCATTAAAGTGCGTTACAGCGTAAGAGTGTGTTACAACATTAGCGTGAGTGGCTCTCTTATTGAGTGCAATACATGAAAACAAACACACACACACACACACACACACACACACACACACAGGGAGTCGATCTATTTCAGGATGTCATAGGGAGTGTAGGTCCTTAGGAATTCCTTTTCTATTCATTCTACTGGTTCTATTAGCCATAGAGAACGTGAAAGATCCTTATTCCAGAACACCCATTGGAATAGGATTTGGGGGGAACCACTTTCATTTGTGTGTGTTTGAGAGACGTTATACAGTATCGTGGCTGTGAGAGTTGAGATTAGATGAAACTAGTATATGTGAGTTTGTTGAACCATTAAGATAAAACTCCAAGTGTGTCTGCAGGTAATCTATCAAATAATGACCAGGTATTAGTGGAGTCTGAGACACTTGAGGTAAATACATTTGAAGATAAATTCCCCCCCCAGATCTTTCCTAAAGGTATATAGATGGAGTTAGTGGTCTGGGTAATAACAAGTGGGTGTTTGTTTACATTTGGTGGAAGGGGGCGAGGCGGCCATACTGCCCCGGCAAGAGAGGCTGTTATGGGTGGGGTGAGGGGGAGGTGGGGAAAGCATCATTTAGCCCCCTCCCCAGACCCCCCCTAGATCGGCATCTTAGCCAAACACTGGACCCACCGAGGCTTACGTGTGCTTAATGTAATAAAACCATGAAGGCAAAGCACTGTGAGTTCCATTGTACAGATCATAACTTTGTGCTAATCTGTGGCAGGTAATAAAAGTCCAGGTGGGTGCGGCTTAAACAAGGGACTTGGCCAATGGGAGGTGAAGTGTGGGTGTAAGGCTGGAGTGGTGGACCAATAGACATGCAGAGCGTGACTTGACCACGCCCCTAGTCCTCACCAGGCTCCACCTACCCCGACGCTGCCATCGTGGTGGACCCTATACCACCACCACCACGCTGCCGTGTCATTGCACCGTCGACAAAATAAATTGCAGATGTAGATAAAGAGAACGTCTGCCGGCCTCTATTGTGTTTTGATTGGGGTCGAGGGAGGACGTAGCAATTATATATGCAACACGCGTGCCCGACTTATTTACCGGCGACCTCAATCACTCTCAACAGATAGAGGGGGTCGACACACCTTGTCATCTCCAGCCCCTCCTAATGGCTTGGCGAGGTTCCGGCCCATTAGAATCTTGGTGGAAATAATGGTTGTGTGTGTGTGTGTGTGTGTGTTGACGGGGAATAAAGGGGGACACTTTGTATACACATTAAATGGTACTTGTCACACTTTGTCAACACTGATACACTGCAATGATACCTATATTTAAAGTCACTCGCTATTTCTACATGTTATTGAGTAGTAGAATCTCTCTCTCTCTCTCTCTCTCTCTCAATTCGTGTGAGACTACATAAATGTGTACTATAACATCCCACATTAAATTTGTGATATATGAGGATTAAAATAAACATTGAGTCAAATTGTTAAAAGCGTGACTCTCGGTCTTGGCTGTTCTCTCCCTTGTATTAGTAAATAAAAGTTATTAATGTTTTACCAGTGGCTAAGAGTGTGTGTGTGTGTGTGTGTGTGTGTGTGTCTGTCTGTCTTTCTTCAGGTAGATACAATCACCAAACCACCAATTAGCTGCCAGTGGACCAGCAACGGCAGGTAGGACAAATTAGTGTGTCTCAGGTCGGTGAAGTCAATTGACAAGCTTACCTGCAATTACCTACCAGACGTAATCAGTGCAAGGTATGGCTAATGACCCAACTACCCAGGAATGACCTTTAATGAGAAAGAGAGAGAGATGGTCAATGTATATAGAACTTAAAAGATTGTACTATAGCATTTACCTTGAACCTATATAAAGAATTTGTTTATCACAGGTGAATGGAGTGACGAAGGTATGGGTAAGGTGTGGGTAGTGATGGGTAAGGTGTGGGTAGTGATGGGTTATGGGGGTAAGGTGTGGGTAGTGATGGGTTATGGGGGTAAGGTGTGGGTAGTGATGGGTTATGGGGGTAAGGTGTGGCAGTGATGGGTTATGGGGGTAAGGTGGGTGGGTAGTGAAGGTGGGGTAGTGATGGGTCATGAGTAAGGTGTGGATAGTGATGGGTTATGGGTAAGGTGTGGTAGTGATGGGTTATGGGGGTGGGTGTGGGTATGATGGTTATGGGTAATGGGTTATGGTGTGTAGTGATGGTTGTGGTAGTGATGGGTGTATGGGTAAGGTGTAGTAGTGATGGGTTATGAGGTAAGGTGTGGGTAGTAATGGGTGTATGGGTAGGTGTGGGTAGTGATGGGTTATGGGTAAGGTGGTGTGGGTAGTGATGGGTTATGGGGGTAAGGTGTGGGTAGTGATAGGTTATAGGTGGTTGGGTAGTGATGGGTTATGAGGTAAGGTGTGGGTAGTAATGGGTAAGGTGTGGGTACTAATGGGGTATTTTGGTAGCTGTCTTGTCTATAGTTATGGAATGTTTAATTGATGTAAAAGTTTTCATAAATGTGTTAGAACAGGACTTGTATTTAATGACTTATTATTTGTTACTGTATGCGTGTTTAACTGTTGTTTATATTACAGTTCCCTTGACAAGATCATCATCCAGGGTTACAAGGCCCTCCAGCTTATGTACTTCTTTACTGCTGGACCTGATGAGTGTAAGGCCTGGACTATACAGGTGAGTCTCTCTCTCTCTCTCTCTCTCTCTCTCTCTCTCTTTTAGTTGAACTTAAAGTTAAAAGGATATAATCAATATATCTAATATGGTGTCAAGAACAGCATAATTTCATCATCATCATTAATGTTTTATGGCCATTCTTTCATACTTTGCTTCTCACACCATGTAGACAGGCTCAAGCACCCCAGGCTGCCGGGAAGATCCACACAGACTTCGAGAAGGGTTTCGTGATGGCTGAAGTCATGAAGTACAACGACTTCAAGGAAGAGGGGTCGGAGGCAGCCTGTAAGGTATGTATCAAGTGATTTTTAGAATACAGTCAGCATTTTTTTTTATCACTGTCAAAAAGTCCAAAAACATTGACACGATTTTAAGTATTGTTAATGAAGATAGTCTACTAACCCCTTGTGTGTGGGGTCCCCTCTGAGCTGAATAAAATCATCTGGTGTTAGCTAAATAAAATACTAAATGTTACATCCCCATACTGGAGGGGTTAGATGGTTGAATTTTATAGTTAGGTGTGTAAAGCGGGTCATCCCGGTCCTAAAAACAAGTTACTAGTTTCAACGTTTTTTCAGGCTTCTGGGAAGTACCACCAAAGAGGTCGTGTTCATTACGTGAGGCGGAGACATAATATTCTTCAAGTTCCAACCGGTGGCCTGAAGAAGAAATGAGACTGGTTGTTGCTAGTGCTTCTCGTGGTATTTTATGTCCAAATGATTGCGGTGTTTATTTGCATCTGTGATCTCCTGAGTAAATTTTAATCAGGATGGATATCAGTCTTTCATTAACCCCCATCCCAATTTTCTCATATCCTTACGATTCATTTCCCTCTTTGGGATTGTTAAAGTCAATTTGGTAGCATGAGTCACGTGTTTTAAAAGAAATCTCAGAAATTGTTTATAGTTATTACTGAAAGATGATTGGAACTGTAAGATCAGTGAAAAGTTTTCTAATCCTTTGAGCTTTGTAAGAAATACCGATGGACTGATATTTGTATGTAAATTGTATGTGTTTGTCATTAGTTGTATTATTTGTTGAATTTTTTTGTGATGCTGAAGGCTAAAAAAATTGTACTTTTTATCACTATTTCAGGTGCCTTTCCCTGTATACCAATTTAGTTTATTTGGTTTATAACCATACATGGATCAGGAACTTGGATGTAGATACTAGTAAATACCAGAACATTAGCAACATTGTGAAATATTTTATGCATGAGCATTTAGTATCTGTATGTATGTATCTATGTATGCATGTACAAGCATATAGCATGCCTTGTGTGTTTTGAAGTTTAATGTAACGTGGTGTTGAAGTCAAAGCCTCGGCTCATGGATGTTTCTGCACAGCATTTTGTGCACTCGGCTTTAGCACATCAAGTTGGAAGTGCATTGTTCTCTATGGATAACATTGTAATGTGGTACTTTTGGACATCTGGTCGAACATAATTTCAAAACTATACTGCTTTAAGTGAAGTGCCGGCTCAAACTGGGTGTTGCCATTTTTTAAGTTGCTGCTTGATTTGACCTGTTAACCCCTTGTGTATGGGTTCCTCTCTGTGCTGAAGAAAATTGTCTGGGGTTAGTCAAATATTAAAAGTGGCATGTCCTTAGTGAAGCAGCCCCAGAATTAGTTACCCAAGATCTGGCCAAAGTAAATCATAAATAGACCTCAGAATTTGCTGGCCACTGTAACTCCTTGTATTCTGTAGTTTTACTTTTGTAGTTTTCAAACAGTGGCACCCCTCTAGCATGTCTTTTATACACAAACATAATTCTTCTTCTTTTATCTTCAGTTTGTGTCCTTATCCATTTTTTCTTTTTATTTATCACAATTATGGCATTTTTTATTAGTTTAAACTTATTCTACACTCACATCATTTCAGTGTCTTTCTTACTCATAACCTTTTCTGTGCCTTATCATTTCTGGTGACTGTGTAAATGGGCCCCTTCGTTACATATGACCCATCTTATTGGTCCCCAGTCTTAATGGTTAGGGTAGATTGCGACTTATTAGGACTGAGGACCTGTTTGACCTTTGATCATTATTTGTTACTCCAGCTACAACAGTCTATTAGTTCTCCAAAAAATACTTATTCTCATCTTGTCCTCTGTGCCTTATATCTTTTGCCTTCCTTTCAGTTTAATTCATCTCTTTTTAACGTCATTCAATACGCTATTGTCCAGGACCAATGTGCCATTTTCTTACAGTCTCCAGCTGATCTCTACAAGAACTTCTGTTTCCAAGATTTCTTATACTGATGTTGAGCTGAGTGCTTGCTCCTCCCCACCACACACACACACCCACAGGGTAATAAGTGGGACTTACTGTAGTTCTAGTTGTATTTAGTTGTATTTGTTTCATTGGTGCTGTTTATTTAAAGCAAATAGAATGTTATTGAATCTTCTTGCTGTTTAGTCCAAATTGCCCACTATGGCCTTATACCTAGCCTGATGAGCACACCACATGGGATTGTAGGGCATATTACCCCTTTACTGTAATTGCTCTCATTGTACCTGAACACTGCAACAGTCCATAGTTTGTTTACTGTGTTATCAGTGCTAGATTCAAGTGCAGTAATTATCATAATAATATAAATCTCAATTGTCGCTGCATCTGAGCCATGTTATGTTGTCTTGTGAAGTTTTCCAATTTTTTTTATCATTCCACCCTCTCTCCACACTTGGGCGTTTCCTTAGTAGCGGAAGATGATTTGGAACATGTTTGTTGCCTTCCTCTTATTTGTGTGGGACTTTTAACAACTTGTCTTAGGGCTCCAATGGTAGTGTTTGTCACTTTTAGTTGACCAGAGACATTTTTTTTATAAATACTTGAATTGACATAAAGCTATCCTTTTTCCAGAATGATTTTAGGAATGTGGTGACTGTGAGGTTATTGCTACTCCTTGATCTCTACTGCTTCCTTAAGGTCAGGTGTTATATAACCTGGAGATTTGTATATTGCAACATTTATCTCCCAACTGTGTAACTTTGTCGAGGACATTTTGGAAGTCCTATTGTCCATTCTAGAGCTGTGGGAATGTGAATGCAGGTTGTTATTCCTCTTAACTTGTATCTAGCCTAATATTTGGGTGTAGATCAACAGGCTCTTATTTTTACTTTTCCTTGTCCTCGACCATCTCTTAGTAGTTAAGTTATTTGTGCACAACAAGAATTGAACTCGTCCATTTTTTCATTTTGGGATGATAGTTCTATCAACAGTAGATATCAAACACAAGAACATTGTTGGGACTCTTGCACTGTACTAAGAAGACCCTGATATCCTCTCAACTGTTTGGTTTGTGGTTCATTAGCTGGGAACTGGAAGCAAATGGCTGATTGGACATGGCATATGGCAAGATGACAGCCTGTAGCTAGGGACAAGTGTAATAATAAGTGGACATGAACTCCATTAGCCCTTTGCTCCAGAGGGTAATCTTAGCATGTTATCTCCCTTTTGAAACTGATATGTATATTGGGGATATATGAACGGTTGCTAGGTCAGTCCCCAGCTGCCTTGTGGGATAAGATGTCATGATCCATCTTCAACGCTGGTCATGCACAGTACAGGACCTGCTGGGCTACAAGTCTTTACTATAAAATAAGGTTCATGAGTCAATTCCCAATTTTTCTCTCCATTAACCTGTCTAGTGATATCGTGATTTGAGTTACATATTATTAAATTTGATCTATATAAACATGAATGATGATCAGTATGCATGCCGTACTTACTACAGTACAGTAATGTGTGTAAGAGTACAGGTATCCTAGACTTCCGAATGGGTTAGTTTCCTTGAAAATCATTCAGTCATCAAATTTTTGGATAGTGAATGACATAATAAATGGGAAAATAGTGTTTGGTTCCCAAACAACAAAAAAAGGCAATATTATACCTAAAATGAATTTGGTTCATGAACAACAAAAAACCACAATATTATACCCCCAAAAATTTAAATTAAATACATGTACGGTATACAGTTGGTACATTAGCTTATGTGAGGCAGATCTCCTGATCTTTCTTGGGCATTCCCACATTCATGACACTTGATTGGACTAACATTCGGATATGCAAATATATCACTTTCGGATAGTAAAAAAAGAAATACAGTACAAGAAAAGAATCTTTGAATAAGGTATGTGAATTTTCTGTTAGCCATTAATTGGTTAGCGAGGGATACCAGTACTTGTACATCTGTTGATGACTTACGTTACCAATACTCTTGCAAAGAACATTTTTATAATTTCCACATGCTTTTGTTGTTGTTTCCCTGTGATATTTATCCTGTCATTTCCTGATCAACTTACAGTATTCTTAGCACCCAACCCACTTTTACAGTGTTTTGTGTATATCAGGTAATATATTTCTAGTATTACGTGGTTTATAACATACAGTACATTACTGTACTTCAGATTTCCTTTCAACATTTCTTTATTCTATGATATCTTTTCACATTATAATCCTATCAGGAGGTTCTGTTGTTATTGTATTCAACTTTCCTGAACCCATAAACTGTAAACCAATTAATGTGTTTCCCCACAAGTCTTACAGAATATTTTAGATGGAGAAAACATTTCCTTCAACTGGCAGGTAACAAAACTTACAGCCGTGTACACAATGCTTTGTCTTTATTCCTCCACTACAAGAAATATACTAGTTTACACCTGTTTGTTTTTCCCTCACTTAAATTTGGTATTAATTAATTGGTTAATCAGCAAAAAAAAAATCTTGATTAACTTAATCAACTCAACCCCTGACACAAGTCAGAGCTCACAGATAGTATAGGCGGAGTTAGTGGAGTATTGATACGAGATGACAGATAGATCACACACCAGGTAAGGGGGTCTATGATAAATATGTAAGTCAGATGTTACTGTTACCTGGGTTTCGAGGGATACTGTATGTCAACGAGGCCATTCTATCACCTTAAACCCCAGAACTATGGGATACAGTATAGAGCATAAAGCACATAGCTGTAATATTTAACCTGTATTGGTTATTTATTCAGGTGCTTTACAAGTTGCCACGGTGAGCTTATGTTAGGTGTTATCCCCCATCAAATTTAACATGATATGATCAGTTAAAAGAAATCATCTATCCCAGTATCCTCTCTACAGTGAAACCTCCATATAACGGATGTATCTCTCCATACAATCCGTGAGATGGGGGTTTTATCATCTTACGGACCCTCAATATAATGGACTTTTCTCCTCTATATAGTTTGCTGTATTAATGTAAACTATAAATATATACAGTATGTATTTTTTTACACGATGATTCATCTGATAATTTTATGTTGCATGAATCGGTTATTTATTTTATGCATTTGATTGTTGATATTACCACCATACATTTAAAGTTACCACTGCAATAACTGTTCATGGTGTATATTTAACTAATTTATTTTTATATTCGATGTTTTCTTTACCTGTGTTAATGTTTCTCATCATTGCCATTTTTTTTTATTATTATTCATCTTTGACCTTCATCTAAATATTACCAGTGATTTAATACCATGTAGTCAATGTTTATTTACTTAAATCACCTGTTAATTATATTTATGTTTCACCACTATGTCTGAAACCTCATTGCCATGTCGTAGGTCTCATCCCAGACAATGTTCCCATTACCAATCTTACCAGCCTAGTCCACAAATTGATCAAACAAAAAAGACGTCCCTTATCAGGAATATCTCTTATTGAGAAGGGACCATTATATGTGAACTCCTTTAAAGAATTATATAAATATGAAAGTCCATTATATTGATGGTCCATTAGATA